GACCGGGCTGGCCTTGAATTCAAAATCCCTCTGCCTCAGGCTCCCAGAGTGCTGGGATTATAGGCATGTGCCTGACTCATATCAGATTTTTAATAAACAGTAAATAATATTATACATTATAGTAAATGGGCATGTTCTAAAGAAAAGATGGATAAATAAGGAAACAACATGTGATTTGGAGTCTCTGAAACAAAAAGCACATACTGGAATAGGGCTGAGAACAGGGGCCTGTACAAATTCATTAACAAAGGCCCCGTGATCACATTTTTCAGGGCCCTCATTCATGTTAGCAGTGTCCATGCACCACTGTGCATGCATACACAACCTCCATCTCCAGGGAGGGCGGCTCACAACAGTGGCATCTATTCTCTATGGTGTCTTTTCTCTAAGGTTTTCTCTAATGAGGATGGCAAAATTGCAAGTGAATAGGCTGGGGATGGAAAGAGAAATTCCCATGACTAGAAGAGGGCCATACATCTGCACAAATATGGAGCCTCTATTGTGAACCAGGAACCATCCCCTTTCCTGTTGCAACTTTAGCGGTGACTTTGTACACACGACTTTGCTATTTGAGAATAACGTTATTCTTATCTACAAGTTTACAGAACTACCATCTGTGAATTTTCCCTTTGAGAAACAAATTTGACACCGTAGATGCAGTTGAATTAGACCTGCCTAGAATGGATACGACTGAAAACTAAACTGTCAGAGAGTTGGCGTGAGATGGAAGGAGACTGGGTAAGGAGAGCTGGGTCTATAAATGGCAAGCGATCTGTGAGCAAACGCAGGCAGGAGTGCAAGCTTCTTGGCATGGCCTTTGATGTGCTCTGAGCTGGCTCCTCCTTCAATTCTCTCCAACCTCTGCATCCTCCCTAAGCTGCCAGCATCCCAATCCTGCTTTCTAAAACCTGGTCCACATACCCTACCTTTGTTCCCTCTCCGTATGGAATGCCTTTGCCCACTCTGCTCCCAGGCAAGAATGTAAATATCTGTTTGCAGTCTCCATCCTGGAAGCTCTTGGAGAGTAAGGAATGTTCATATCTCCAGCTGCAGCCCCTCGCCTCGGCTCTGCCAATAGAGTCAGTGGGAAACAGTGGGAAGAGTACAGAACTGGAGACTGGTCCAATATGGATTCCCTATTTTCCCGATTTCAAAGGCTGGCCCTCCCCCTTGCTACCTGGATGACATTGGATAAGACCTGTATACTTCCATTTTCTTATCTGTGAAATGGGCATAATAAGGCATTTTGTTGGGTTATTGGGAGAATCAAAAATAAACTGTCTATGTATAAAGCACTTAAAAACAGCACCTGATTCAGGGTAAGAATTATATAAGGGTTCACAATTGTGGTTATCATCATTATTGAGTGTATGTGGAATAAAGAAAAGTGAAAGAAGAAGGGAGATTATATACCCAGGAGCTGAGCAAACTTCCGAATTCATAGGCTGGCTTAGTCCCTTCATTAAATGGACCATGTTTTATAGCACCTCACTATGTACTCACAAAAGGAGATGGAGCTTGTCTCTGGTTGGTGTTCATGACTTTTTTCTTACCTGGGCTACCCACCCACCTCTGTCAAAGCTAGCCAGCCAGAACTGCCACACTCCACAATAGCTGCACAGCATGACACACAAGGGACACTGTTGCTTGGTGCCTTTTGTCCCAGCCTCAAATAGAAGTTCTTGCTCCAAAAACATCAGTGCTGGAAATTAGAGATGATCTTGTCCAACATCACCCCCATAACACATGGGGAAACAGGACTCACTGTTGCTCAGTACCTTTTGCCCCAGTCCCCAGTAGTTCTTGCTCCAAGAACATCAATGCTAGAGGTCAGAGATGATCTTGTCCAACATCACCTGAGGAAACTGAGGCCTAGAGAGATTGTGAGTTTACACTTTTTAGTACCAGTTTCATATATATGTTACTTGTCATAAAATCAACTTTGTAGAATATTACAATAGACTGAAATAGAAGGACCTTTAAAGTTTAATTGGGTACTTTTCAAACTCCATATCCTAGAGCAGTACGGTGACCCATGAGCTCTGTTGCAATTATTCCATCATTCATTTGATGAATACTGACCACCTAAAATGTGCTGGGCGTAAGCCACACACCAATCCTGCCTTCTGGACTGCAAAGACTAATGAGGCAGAGTGATGTTAAGTAAATAATCACACATCTAATAGTAAAGTCTTACTGCTGTGAGTTATGTTCCAATATGCTAGAATGGGCATCTCCAAACACACATGAATATGCTTTTGGAGTGGAGGTGACAGGACTGGGGCTGGAAGGAGCAGTCACAGGTTGGGCCCTGGAAACTGCCCATCCCACTGGGCTCACTGGTACAAGGATCTTATGTAGGCTAACACTGCCACTGCATGGCTATAGCACTAGAAAGATTGGAGGGCTGGGGATTTAGCTCAGTGGTTTCGCCGCCTGCTGTGCAAGCGCAAGGACCTGAGTTCGATCCTCAGTACCAAAAAAAAAAAGATTGGAAACCACTGAACTAGCTCTACTCACCCTCATTGTATAGATGAACAAACTGAGCCCTGAAGTGTTTTGTTAAATTCTCTTGCTCAAAATAGTCCAGCTATAGTTGAAAGACCCTTAAAATTCTGCAATGGCTCGCACAGGCTCATTTCCAAGAAAAAGTCCAAATCCCATAGACTAGCACATGATCTGACCTGTTTACTTCTGCAACCTCATTTCTTATCATTCTGCTCCCACTCTGCAATCCAGCCAAACTACCTTCATGCAAAGCCCTGGTGCTTTGCCCACACCACTCCCTCTACCACAGACCCAAAGTCCTTGGCTCCTAAATAACTTCAGCCCATTTTCAGCATTCAGGACTCAGCTCCAGTTCACCTCCTCCAAAACAACCTTTCCGGAAGTGCCCTCCTCTGCCTCCCACAGCACCAACACCTTCACATATAGAAAGAGAAACACTCGTCACATAAATGTATTCATCCATCCAACAAATATTTATTGAGCAACTTCCATAGGCCAAGAACTTTCAAGTACAGCAGTAAACAAAACAAAGCCCCTGCCCTCAAGGAGCTTACATTCTGGTGAGGGAAAGAGACAATAAACAAAAAATACATAATATAATGTCAGGTAGAGTTTGGTGCTATTAGAAATTGAATGAGAGGGCCAGGGATTTAGCTCAGTGATTCTGCCGCCTGCCTCTCAAGCGCAAGGGCCCAAGTTCGATTCCCAGTACCAAAAAAAAAAAAAAATAGAATGAGAGTAAGGGCTGGAGACTGGTGGGGCATCATCTCAGAAGGCCTCTGTAGGGAGGTGGCATTTGATCAGAGCCATGAAGACATGACAGAGGAATATGCAGTGCAAATAACTGGATAAGCAGTATTTCACAAGGAAGCAGCATTGGCCCTGTCGTGACTGCAATTATTTCTTTGTGCATTAGTCCCTGCTGAACTACAAGGCCCTTGAAGGCAAGGGTTACAACTTAAGCATGATTTCCAGGGCCCAGCAGAGAACTTGGCACCACCACAGTGGACATTTGCAGAGTGAATGAAGGAATCTGGGCTGTTGGCTGAGCCCATCGGGCCTAATGAACAAGATTTAGCCCATCTCCTGTTTCTTGTCTTCCACAGGGCTAAGTTAAGAACAGATCTTCCTGTAGCAATCTGCCTAGTCTGACTCTGTGGCCAGGTTTCTGTCCCTGGAGTCTCTCTTCACTACAACTTTGCCACTGGCCAGCTCAGTTTCACCTTTCTGGCCTTATATCTCTGACATGGGCCTGAGACCTTGTCTAGAAACCCAGAAACTCTAGAACTGGGAGCATGCCCTTGCTCCCCAACCCTCAGCTGTCCCAAGCATTAAAGTTCTCCCTAAATCTCATACCCCAAGGCTGAGGGCCCTAACACCTGAATCAGATTTCCCCAACAGCTAACCCTTACCTATCTGGAAGTTCCCCCTGCCTAATTCTTGATTTCCCTCCAAACCAAATGATTCTTTCCCACTGGGACATTAACATCAGTCCTTCCAATGGCTATCTCTCTGCAGGTTCCAACTTCATAAAACCATTGCTTAACATCTTCCACAGCCAAGCCACAGGGCTGAGTCCTCAAGTTGCCTGCTGCAATCCCTGCTAACCTCAGCCGAACCTCTGGGTCTAAATCTCCAGAACAGACTACCATAAAATGAGATCTTGACACTCCCAAAAGTACATTAAACAGTTTTATATGCTACACAATCAAACAGCTTTATCCATTCAGCTTGCTGCAACAGAAACCTCTAGAAGTCATGAGTGCTTCACCCCAGACCCCAAAAGATTTAAATTGGGTTCAAGGATAAGTAACTCATCTCTATTTGCCCTGCCAACACCACTTACTGAGACCTGCTGTATGTCAAGCCCTGAATCATAAAACACAGTGCTCCTGCTGCTGATAATGATGAAGGTGGTGGAGAAGGAGAAAAAGGAGGGGAGTAAACAAAAAAGTTATTTATTGACTATTTGTACTATACAACACTCAGCAGTGGGTTTTCAAACAGTAACAAAGCAGTGGAATAGGTGTTGTTAGCCTCACTTTCAGGGAGGCTAATAGGCTAAAGAGAAAAGCAACTTACTCAAAGTTGTGCAGCTCAACAGTAGGGTGGAGTGAGACCCTTGGTCTGCCTGCCTCCCAAGTACAAATTGTTAACCCACCCAAGAGTCACACGGTAAAGTGCTAAACAAATTGAACTTAAATGAAGAAGGGAAGGAGAGGGGATCCTGCCCCCAGGAACTCAAATCTGGCAGAGAAGACAGACAAACACATAAAGCAATGTCTACATACTGCAGACTCTACAATATGAGAAGCCAGTGCTGACGGCTGAAAAACATAGGAGGAGGTGTAGGGCAGCCAGAGGAGGCTAACTTGACCTGGAAGTGACTCTGGGGCTAGGCCTTGAAGGATGAGCGGTTTGCAGCAGCCCTGGACCGCCGACCTGGTCGTCCGATCTACCCCCCTGTGCCCCGCGGCAGGGCCGGGCCTCACCTCCTTCCACTTGAGCTGATGGATGCTGATCTTCAGGGCTTCCAGAGAGGTCCTGGCCTTGGAGCTGTCCACAGTGACCGGCCGCGGCTGGTCGGGACGGCGCCCCGTGCTCCGCGTGCAGCCTCGGCCTTTGCCCCTGGGCATCCCGTGCGGGCCAAGCCCCCGTGCCGGCGCCGGCTTGGGCCTGAACAGGGGCGGCTTGAGCGGAGCGGCGCGGGAGTCGCCCTCCTCGGCCACGCGGGGCGGCACTGGGGCCTTGGGCTGCTCCTCCCCCGCCGCGCGCTCGGGGTCCCCGGCCGCGCCCGCGTCCACACCGACCTGCGCCGCCTTCACCTCTGGCTGTGCTTTAGCCGCGGCCACCGCCTCCACCTCCCACCGGGCCGCCAACTCCCTCTCGGAGCTGCCCCGCCTCATGGCGTTCAGGACCGGTGCCAATGCCTGTGCCACCGCCGCCGTCGCCGCACTCCGCGGTCCCCGCCTGCAACCAAACTGCCCTCGCTGCTACTGCTGCTACTGCTGCCACGCGTTCCCCGCCCGAGCTCGTTGCCATGATCGCTCAGGCTCTGGTTGTCAGAGGCAGGCCCCACCTCCAGAAGGGGAACGGGAAGGGACAATCGCAGACCAACCCCCTACGACCTCATAGGCGAGGGTGCCACGTGGCCAGGCCTGTCACCGAGGCGGTTGCGGCCATTTTGGAAGAGGGCGGAACTGCTCTGGCCCGCCCACCTGGAAAACTTATCAGAGCCTAGCGAGCAGAGGGTGGAGGTGAACCTGGAGGTAGAAAACTGTCTAGCATACTTGGGGCTCCTGAGCCTGGGGACTGAGGAGGAGAGATACTTATCTGAAACAAGAGGCTCAGTTCCCCCACCCCACACACACTCACTGGGGAACTCCGGTCCCCGACCCATCCCAGGGAAATCCATCGCGGGGAATCTGCTCGTTCTGGTGACGATGAATGTGACAGGTCCAGGCCCGGGGGACCTGCGAGAGTTCCGTTGGAAGAAACCCCTTTCTGGTCCTGTGAGAACCCACAGACTTCAGGGAGGGGGGATTCTCTGTTCTCGAGAGGTTCCCAATGGGGACAGAGAAAGAAGCCCTACAAATGGCCGGCGGAGTTGAGGACATTGCCGACTGCTTTTTCTTATAATGCCACTTTTTTATTGCAGTAAAAGATACATAATATTTGCCATTTTAACTATTTTAATACACAGTTCAGTGGCGTTCAGTACATTTACACATGTTGCAGCCATCACCACCATCCATCTCCAGAACTTTTTCTTCTTTCCACACTGAAACTCTGTGCTCATGAAATAACAGCTTGTCTTCCCTCAACCCCACCCCTAACAACCACCGTTCTTTCTTGGTCAATTTAACGACTGGGAGGTATCTCATAGAAGTGAAGTCAAACGTTTCATCTTTTATGTCTGGTTTATTTCACTTAGCATAACATCTTCCAGGTCCATCCACATTGTAGCATGTATCGGAATTTCACTCCATTTAAGGCTAATATTCTATTGTATGCATACATTGCATTATTTTTACCTATTCATCTCTCCATGGACATTTTGGTTGTTTCCACCTCGTAACTGTTATAAACAATGCTGTCGTTGACATTGGTGGGTATGCAGGATCTGTTTGAGCCTCTGCTTATAATTCTTTTGGGTTGTCATATATTTTTTAAGCCAATCCAAAGTACTGTGACTTTTCACAGTGTTCCACCTCATGCTGTAGGGTGTACTTTTTTTCCTTCTTTTTCTTGACCCAAACTTGCTCTATAGAGCATATCTCTTTTCCTATCTTTAATAAATGTAAACCTTTGCTACTGTTAAAAAAAAAATAAAGACAGGGGCTGAGGATTTAGCTCAGTGGTTCCACCACATGCTTCAGAAACACAAGGTCCTGAGTTCGATCCTCGGTACCAAATAAAATAAAGCCAATCCAAGAAGATTACTCTCCCCTCCCACTGAGGAAGCAACATATATTTTGATTTGGGTTGGGTTGGGTTGGGTTGGGTTGGGCTTTTAGGGAATGGAATTGGAAAGGTATAACATCATCCTAGAATGATGACAAAACCATGAGTGCTCATGGGTGAACTTGGTCACATTCTGCACTAGAAGGTGAAAGGAACACAAAGGCTGTGGAGGAAGATGATCCCTTCCTCTCTCACCTGTCCAAGAGTCTTGTTTATCTTGGGTCCTGGGTTCCACTTGGTGAATAACCTACCTTGACATGTACAGTCATAGCCTTACAAGATTCAAACCTCTTTGTAGGCAATGGCTGCTCTCCTCTCTTCCCTCAGAGGCCTTCATGGCTTAGTTTTCATGTTTCTTCAAGTATGGTCTTCTTACCACCTGCACCAAGTCACCTGGGGTGCTTATTTAGAACATAGGCTCCTGAACACCTAGAAACTTTGGTGCAGAACATCTAGGTGAGCCTGGGGGTCTGCACTGTAACATAGTTTCTTTGCTGATTCCAAGGCAGCCCAGATCAAGAACCACTGATAGAGTCTACTTGAAGCCTCTGGAGACCATTGGAGCTGTCCATGGTACCCACCAGAAGACCTCACTGCACCAACACCACCACCACCACCCCCAGTCTCTCTCCACCTCTCTGTTCCCCAGGGCCTGTCTCTCCACTTGGACTCAGAGAATGGCACTACTTTTGTTTAGTCATGGCCTAAAAATTGTCAGGTCTTAACTTATCCCCTCTCCCTGGCTTCCTAAAACTAGACCACCATCAAGTCTTACAGGTTTTACATTAAGATATGACTCCCATCTTTCCTTTCTTACCCATCACTGTTAGCACTGCCCCAGTTCAGGTTTCTGCCCTTAGCCTGGGCTGTTGCACCAGCCTCCTCATGAATCTCCCTGCCTCTAGCTCCCATCATGCCCCCATCCATTCTCCACACTACAGCAGACCTGCTGCTAGCCTGCTTAGAAACCTCCCTTGATTTCTGGCCATATACAGACCAATTCCAAGTATGTTAATTGTCCTAAGAGAGCCTTCCAATGACCATTTCTGAAATAATTCCCCTCTCTTTGCCTTCATGCTCTTGTACACACTGTCCCCTCTGCCTGGACTTACCCTTCCTTTGTATCTCTACCTGGGAAACTCAGACTCATCTTGAATGTCTTTTTGCATAAGCCCTTCTTAATGCTCCCTGGAAGAAGCTCTGTCCATTCTTCTGCTGATATAAATGATAATCCCCCTCATGGTCTGTAACACTGTATAGAAATCATCTCAGCCAATCTGGCCTGGTTCATCCCTATATTTCTGTGTCTGGGAGCTAGAACATAGTTGTTCTCAGAAAGTAGTATGAATGTGTCACTTAATGAGTTGTTTTCAACTTCATCAAATCTGAAAAGACCATCCCACATACAGATATTTATTTTGGCCTTATATCCCAAGACTTCTGCCTCAGGGCCTTTGTATATGTCCTTCCCTCTTCCTAGAACTCTTGTTCTAGATCTCTGCCTACTTCTCCTTCAGTGTAAGTGTGATACATCTGCACAGATACCTCTGGCCTCTCCATCTAAATCTGACCTCTTCCAATGAAATAATGATGCAAGAAGAGAAAACAGAATTACAAAGAGGTGCATGATTAAGTGTCAAATGAGGCAACGAGTAAAAAAGAAACACTGTGTAGGAGTCCAAGGAATGGAAAACACTGTGAATTAGAAAGCCAGGCCACTGCTTCACATAAAAGACAGACTAGAAGTGGAATCTTCAGGATGGAGTAAGAGTCAAGGACATGAGGGCCAAGTATTTAGCTCAGCGGTACATGCCTGGTGGGCAAGCACAAGGTCTGGAGTTCAATTCCTGGTACAAAAAAAAAATCAAGTACATAAAATGTTAGATGTAGTGGTCACTGCAGAGGCTGTGGCAGGTTTGTCACAGTCATGCAAAGGATCTGGGCAGGACATGAAATCCAACATGTGCTCTTCCCCCTTCCCAGCCTCACCCACCAGGTGAGGGCACTTTTGCCCATTGGTTCACAGGCTTCCAGGGGTAGCTGAGGTCTGTAAGAAGGGAGGAGGTGAGGAAAAGGTGTGGTGCCAGTAGATGTAAGGAGGAGACAATCATTCTCCTCGGGGAGGCAGGGAGTGGACTGGACCAGTGGAAACACAAGCCTTAGAGAAGGGAAAATGGAAATAAGACCCATTTTGAGCTCTGTGGTCATGCTTTGGACACCAAGTAGATACCCACTGACTTTTGGAGAGCCCCTAAAATGTGTCAGTGGAAAATCCAACCACATACACACCTCTTCCAAAAGAAGCACTAGCTATGGCTATGGAGAAGCAAAGATAAGGCTAGGATGAAGGACTAGAATTACTGCCCCAATGCACAAGTGTGTGACTAGAGCAGCTCTCTCAAGGGGCTCTGTCCTCTCCCTTCCCAGCACTCACTGCACCTTACAGTTACAGTTTCACTTGCTTCTTCCCTTGTCTGCCTTTCTAGGTATCAGACATAAGCAATGCACTATTCTTGTGGCCCACAGTATCCCATTGCCTAGTTCAGTGCCTGGAAGAAGGCACGTACTCAGTAACTATTTCTTGAACAAATGAATGAAAAAAAAGAAACTGCCCAGATATTCAACTATAAAGAAACAGTTAAGTGAGCTATGGGAAAAGTGGTCAGTGACAGCTTCAGCCACTGCGGAAAATGTGGATGACGTAGCATGAAGGGGATGGGTGCAAGCACTGTAATTGCAATGCTTAAAAACCATTCCATGTAAACAAGGCCTGGAAGAATATAGAGAAAAATGAGGGCAGCTGTGATGCTGGAGACATGAGATCTTCCTTGAATTTTTCCTCTCAATTTTGGCAAACTGTAGCAACCTTGTGGCTCCTCCTATGCTGGAACCCAGAAATCAGTCCCACTTCTAGAGACTGCTGCTAAGAATCAATAGGACAGGTGCAGAGGAGGCTTCCAGGCTGCTGTACCACTGCTCCCAGCACAGAGGAGGTAGGCTCCGCAGGCCCCAGCAGCACACACACACACATACACCCTGCACACACACCTCCATAGAAATGAAAAGATGCATAAACAAGTCTCAAAACCAGACTTCCAGATCACCTACAGCAACCTCAAAGGAAAACTAGATGGAACAATCTGATACTTAACCACCTGGACTCCCTGAATTGGCAACAAAAGAGGATCTGG